TGTGTATATATGTATGAAATGGACATTTTCTTAGTATGGGACTCAACTTGGAATGTGCCCAAGAATTTCATGATTCTTTTACCAATGAAATGGAATTATAATACAGTCTTTCCAGGAATTCCAGTGATAGATACCTTTGGACAAAAAATTCAGATTGGATCTACCTTTTATTCTGTGCTGGTACTGGTCATGTTATAGTGGAGCTTCTGTTTGAGGTATATATTATGTGGGTTGTCTAGTATTTTTGCCTCTGAATTTTTTCTTAAAATTTTATATTTAATCCATGCTTTTTGCTTATGATAAAGACTAGATCTTATCATTCTAGCAAGTGAAACTTTTCCCTGAGTGAGGTAGATTAACTTGTCTTATTAAACATATTGCTGTGAAATTAATTTTTCAGTCTTTGTTTCTAGGAAGTGACACACCTGAAGAACTGCGAAAGAAATTAGTAAGGAAGATGAAGTTAATTCTGAGCTCAGGCTCAGATGAAGAATGTGCAATTTGCTTGGATTCTTTAACAGTTCCTGTGATAACACATTGTGCACACGTATTTTGTAAACCTTGTATTTGCCAAGTCATTCAGAATGAGCAGGTTAGTTTTTGGTTCAGTATAGGCAATATTTGATGGAGTGGTGGACTTGTCTGAAGATAATGAAAACCCAAGTTCAAGAGACTATAAAGAGTTCTACACTTAGACTTAACAAAGTACTTTTTATAATTAATTATTCCAGTGTTATTCTAAGTGGTATATTTTTTATAATTAAGCCCTTTTAAGGAGCTCTGATAGTGTAGTACCTAAGACACTTGACTGATAACTGGAAGGCTGGTGGTTCAAACCCACCAGCCACTCCTCGGAAAGAAGGCTGGGCAATCTACTTCTGTAGTGATACTGCCTTGGAAAACCAAGGAGGGGTTGCTATGAGTCGGGTCTGACTTGACGGCACATAACAACAACATTTTTTGGAAGTACCTTTTCACAGTCACCATACTGGTTCCGCTAACAGTTTAGATTGTCACTGTCAAATAAATCCATCAATGTAAGGCAATTTCAACTTTTCTAGTAGCCACAATTAAACAAAGTTGAACAGGTGAAATTAATTTTAACAATACAATTTACTTAATCCAATGTATATATTATTGTTTAACGTGTAATCGGTATAAAAATTTTTGAGCAATACTCTGTATGCTTAAAAAAAAAAAACTGATGTTTTTTGTATACTTACAGTACATCTCAATTTGGCCTAGTCCCATTTCAAGGGCTTAATGGCCACATGTGGCTGTTGGCTAGTGTATTATATAGTGTAGGTGTAGATTCTCTTGTTTGTTAGAACTTTTGTGAAGTGAAAGAATTCTTTAAGCAGCCCTTAAGCTGGAGTAGAATTTTTTTTTTTAACCTTTTTAATTGACATGTAACATACATATTTTAAAGAAACTACACAACTCTTCATTGTATACCTCATTATATTATCATGAAAGAAATACATCTGTGGAACCACTACTCAGGTCTCCTTATGTTCCTCTCCCAATCATTTACCCTCACCCTTCTCCGCAAAGGTAACTCCACTATGTATTGACTTCTAATATCGTTTTAGTTTTAGAATCTTTGTCAAAATTGTATTTGGTTTCATTATTTAAGATATTACTTATCTGTTGTTGAAAATATACATAACAAAACACACACCTAAGATAATTTTATTAGCAGGTTTTGGGAGAAATGGATATAACAAAAATTGCTGTGTGTGAAACTGATAGAATTTAATAGATCTTGACAAGCTTTATAAGACATTAAGAATATACCATTTAGAATAACACTGGAATAATTAATTAAAAGTACTCTCTATTGGGGTACAAGAGGGGTTAGGAAAAACTAAGGGAGACAAACTTGTCTGTCAGTTTGTCATCCTTGGTAGCTTGTGTGTTGCTATGAGGCAGAGGCTATGCAACCATGTTGTAAAATTCCAGCAGGGTTACCCATGGTGGGCAGGTTTCAGTGGAGCTTCCAGGTTAAGATGGACTCAGAAGAAGAAAGAAGCCATCCACTTCTCAAAGAATTGGCCAGTGAAAACCTTATGAATAGCTGTGAACCACTGTCTGATATATTGCTGGAAAACTTTATGAATAGCTCTGAAATATTTTCTGATATAATGCTGGAAGATGAGCCTGTCAGGTTGGAAGGCACTCAAAATTTGGTTGGGGAAGAGCTGACTCCTCAAAGTAGAGATGACCTTAACAATATGGATAGAGTAAAGTTTTGAGACCTCCATTGGCTGATGTGGTATGACTGAAAATGAGTAGAAACAGATGCAAAACAAACATCCATTAATAATTGGAACATTGAATGTATGAAGTATGAATCTAGGAAAATTGGAAGTTGTCAGAAATGAAATGGAACACATAAAGATCAATATGCTAGGCATTAATAAGCTGAAATGTACTGGTTTTAGCCATTTTGAATCAGACAACCAAATGATCTACTATGCCAGGAATGAAAGAGGAATGGTGTGGCATTCATTGTCACAAAGAGTGTTACAAGATCTGTCATGAAGTACAATGTTGTCAGTGATAGGTTAATATCCACATGCTTTACAAGGAAGACCAGATAACATCACTATTACTCAAATCTATGCACAACCAACAAAAGCCAAAGATGAGGAAATTGAAGATTTCTGCCAATTTCTGCAGTCTGAAATTGACAGGACATGCAATCAAGATGTGTTGATTATCACTGATGACTGGAATTCAAAAGCTCAAACAAAGAAGAGTTACTCATAGTTGGAAAATATAGAAATATATATTTGTATATTTCTATTTTATAAATATAAAGGCAAATTGAAATGTACTATAAATATTAAATACAAATATATTTTATATATATGTTTATATTTTATTCTATAAATATATGATAGAAATAACGCTAAAGATTGCATGATAGCATTTTGCAAGACCAGCAACTTACTCATTGCAAATACCTTCTTTCAACAACATAAGCCATAACTATACACATGGACTTCACCAGATGGAATACATAGGAATCAGATTCACTACACGTGTAGCAAGAGGTGATGGAAAAGTTCAGTATCTTCAACTGAAACAAGGCCAGGAGCTAATTATGGAACACACCATCAACTACTCATGTGCAAGTTGAAGTTGAAGACAATTAAAACAAGTCCACAAGAGCCAAGATATGACCTTGATAATATCCCTCCTGAATTTAGAGACCATATAAAGAATAGATTTGATGCACTGAACACCAACAATTGCGAACCAGAGGAATTGTGGGATGACATTAAGACTATCATACACAAAGAGAGCAAGAGGTCATTAAAAAGACAAGAAAGGAAGAAAAGACCAAAATGGATGTCAGAAGAGACCCTGAAACTTGCCCTTGAGCAGAGATTGGCTAAAGCAAATGGAAGAAATGACAACATAAAAGAGCTGAACAGAAGATTTCAAAGAGCAGCTCAAGCAGACAAAGTCAATTACTATAATGAAATGTGTAAATTCCTGGAGTCAGAAAACCAAAAGAGAAGAGCATGCTTGGCATTTCTCAAGCTGAAAGAACTGAGGAAAAAATTTAAGCCTTGAGTTGCAATATTGAAAGATTCTATGGGCAAAATATTGAATGATGCAGGAAGTATCAAAAGAAGATGGAAGCAGTACAGAGTCACTGTACCATAAAGAATTGGTTGATGTTCATCCATTTCAGGAGGTGGCATATGATCAAGAACCAGTGGTATTGAGGGAAGAAATCGAAGCTGCACTGAAGGAATTGGCAAAGAGGAAGACTCCAGGAATTGATGGAATACCCAATGAGATGTTTCAACAAATGGATGCCTCACTGGAGGCACTCACTTGGCTATGCCAAGAGATTTGGAAGACAGCTTCCTGGCCAACTGACTGGAAGAGATCCATGTTTGTATCCATTCCAAAGAAAGGTGATCCCACAGAACGTGGAAATTATTGAAAAATACCATTAACTGTCAGATGCAAGTAAAATCATACTGAAGATAATTCAAAAACAGTTGCAGCTATATATTGACAGAGAGCTTCCAGAAATGCAAGCTGGTTTCAGAAGAGGATGTGGAACCAGGGATATCATTGCTGATGTCAGATGGATCTTAGCTGAAAGCAAAGAATACCAGAAAGGTGTTTACTTATGTTTTATTGACTGTGCAAAAGCATTCGATTGTGTGGATCATAGCAAATTATGGATAACATTGAGAAGAATGGGAATTCCAGAACACTTGATTGTACTCAGGAGGAACCTGTTCATAGACTGGAAGGCTGTCGTTCAAACAGAACAAGGGGACACTGCATGGTTTAAAATCAAGAAGGGAGTGCGTCAGGGTTGTTTCCTTTCATCATACATAATCAACTTGTATGCTGAGCACATAATCCGAGAAGCTGGGTTATGTGAAGAAGAACATGGTGTTAGGATTGGAGGTAGACTCATTAACAACCTGTTATACATAGATGAGACAACTTCGCTTGCTGAAATTGAGGATGACTTGAAGGCCTTACTGATGAAGATTAAAGACTACAGTCTGCAGTATGGATTGCACCTCAATATAAAGAAGACAAAAATCCTCACAACTTGTCCAATAAATAGTTTTATGGTGGATGGCAAAAAGATAAAGTTGTGAAGGATTTCATATTACTTGGTTCTATAGTCAACACCAATGGAAGCAGCAGTCAAGACATCAGACAACATAGTGCATATGGCAGATTTGCTGCAATAGACCTACTTTCAAGTGACAAAGAGGAAAGATGTCTCCTTGAAGACCAGGGTGTGCCTAACCCAAGCCATGTGTTCTGGTTACCTAGTACAGCTCTGACAAGAATATGCCACAAATGGGATGGCTTAAACAAACAGGAGTTTATTCTCTCACAGTTTGGAGGCTTTAAGTGTGAGTTAAAAATGCCAGGCTCTAGGGGCTGGGTGAAAGCCTCTCAACCTTGAGCTTCAGCTCTGCCTCCTGCTTCTGGCCCACTGAAGCTGGAGGCTTTGCTTCAATCAGTTGCTGGCTGCTG